GGGGATTGACCAGGGCTGCTCTACCACTGAGCTACATCCCCAACCATTTTCCTTCTTTACATCTTTTTATTGAGACAGGGTCTTGCTAAATTGCCAAGGCTGGCCTTGAACTCACAATTTTCCTTGCTTCGACTCCTGAGTAGATGGGATTATAGATATGTACCTCCATTTCCTGCCAAAACCAGGATTTAAAATGAGGCAGCCTGCCAGACATGGGGACACAGGCCTATAATCCCAGTTCCTTGGGAGCTTGGGGCAGAAGGATTAAAAGTTCAAGCCCAATTGCTCTTAGTTCATGAAGCCCTGCCTCAAAACATAAATTTTTTTTTTTTTCTGGTACCGGAAATTGAACTCACCACCTCGCGCTTGCCAGGCAGGCGCTGTGCTGGTGAGCTAAATCCCCAGCCCCAAAATATAAAATTTTAAAGAGCTGGGGAGGTAGCTGAGTGGTAGAGCACCCCCAGTTCAATCCCCAGTACCACATACGCACAGAGAGAATACCCACATCACAGTACCGTGAGCATTATGTGGACCTAAATGATGCTTGCAGTACTCAATATCTGGCAATTACTATTTGTTGTCCTGTTCTTCTGTGGTCAGCTCTTGCAAGTGTTAACACTGTAATGCTTTTTTCATGTGTGGCTTCCCCACCGGGGAATAATCTCCTTGAAAGCGGCAGACATAAACCATTCATCTTGTATTTTAGCACAGGACCTGATGTACTGTGGGGACCTAACGATAACTAAGCTGGACATGATAATTATTAAGAAGGGTGTCATGCTGTAGCCCAGGCTGGACTTGAACATATAACTCAGGCCTCCAACTTACAGCAACCCTCCATCCTCCGTCTCCCAGACTGGTGGGATGACAGGCATGTATGGGTGACTTCACTTGATAGTCCTGGAGATCAAACCTGGTGAGTGTATAGCTACAGTCCAGAATTTTTTTTCTTTTTTTTTTTGTCTTTTTGAGACAGGGTCTTGCTAAGCAGTTCAGGCTGGTCTTGAGCTCACTTTGTAGCCCAGGCTGGTCTCGAACTCGCAGTGATCCTTCTGTCTCAGCCTCCCGAGTGCTGGGACTACAGGCGTGCGCCACCTCACCTGGCTAGCCCAGAATTTTGTATTTTGATGCCTTGAGCCAGGATCTGACTAATTTGTAGGCTGGTCTCAAACTTACGACCCCCTGCTTCAGCCTGAGTTGCTAGGATGACAAGCATGTGCCATCACACTAAGGTAAGCTGAACTTCAAATATTACCTGCCTTCTGAGTTTCTGTTCAATTACCTTCTTTCTTTGTCTTTTTGAGACAGGCTTTTACTACGCAGTTCAGGCTGGCCTTGAACTCATTTTGTTGCCCAGGCTGACCTTAAACTCACAGCAATCCTCAGGCCCCAGCTTCCCGAGGGCTGGGATCACAGGCGTGCATTACCATGCCAGGCTCTATTCAATTTCTATTTTTTCTTGGTAATATTCACATAATATTGGTTTGTCTCTTCTCAGAATTCTGCCTGCCTACTCATACCTGTTGTCTTACTTTTTTTTTTGGTATCGGGAATCAAACTCAGGACCTTGTGCATGCCAGGTAGGCGCTTATGCCACTGAGCTATATTCCCGGTCCCCCTGTTGTCTTACTTTAGACACAGTGCCTCAATGAAGCTACAAGTTTTTCTGGGGAAAACAACATCTCTTAAATTATTTGCATAAAGTTAATATTTCCAATTACATAGTTTTAAAACATTACTTGTGAGCTAGATGCTTATAATCCTAGCACTTAGGAGGCTGAGGCAGGAGGATCACCATGAGGTGGTTTTTTTTTTTTTTTGTCTGAGACAGGGTCTTACTATGCAGTTCAGGCTGGCCCTGAACTTACTTATGTAGCCCAGGCTGGGCTGGAACTCTCAACAATCCTCCTGCCTCAGCCTCCCAAGTGCTGGGATTACAAGCATGTGCCACCACAGAGAGCACTTCATCGTGAGTTTTGAGGCCAGCCTGAGGTACACAGTGAGTTCAAGACCAGCCTGAACTACACAGTAAGTCCCTGTCTCAAACAAACAAACAAATAAAATAAAAAATTATTTGTGAATTAAAAATATTCAAAGCAATGTATGGTGTAATCCTGGAGGCAGGAGGATTACAAGTTTGAGACCTGCCTGAGCAACTTAGAGATTGTCTCAAAATATGAAGTGCTTGGCTAACATATAGGAGACCCTAGGTTGGATACCTACTACTAGGAAAAAAAAACACCCCACAATCTAGGGAGATGACACTTTATCTTTACTAGTAAGTCACTGCTTTGGTTTTTTTTTTGCAGGGGCGGGTACCAGGAATTAAACTGAGCTATATCCCCAGCTCCTGTTTGTTTTTGAAACAGGGTCTCACTATAGTTCAGGCTAGCCTTGAACTCCTCCTGACAACCCTCCTGCCTCAGCCTTCCAAGTGCTGGGATTCCAGGCATGCCCCACTACGCCCAGCTAATCATTGTTTAATAAAACCCAGCCAACAACTCATCTCCTGAATCACCTTACCTTAGCTTTTGGAATGACATTAATTTGTTTTTGTTTAACACTGTCACATCCTTTCATCCCGAGTAGAATAGATCTTCTTTTTCTTTTTGAATCTTCCTGAAAGCTTAACAGATGGCACTGTACATGCAGGAGCCACAGCTCAAGGTAGACAGATAGGTATGCTTAATAACAATTGAATTATTCCTTTTTGTCTTTTTTATGTCCACACTACATTAGCTTAAAATAAATGCTGTGGACAATAATGGTAACTTCATTCCTGCTACCCTGCCTATTAGGTGGCTCAGTTTAGAGGCTGTTGGTATAATTGCCACCCAACCAGGCCGTAGCTGGAAGAAGCCTTGACTCAACATTTTAGATTGTATTATTTACTTATTTATTTAATTTTTTCAGATAGGCTTTCAATATGTAGTCCAGATTGGCCTTGAACTTACGGTGATACTCCTACCTCAGCCTCCTGAGTGCTGGGATTACAGGTGTGTGCCATAACACCCAGATTTTATATATATATTATTTTTGGTACTGGGAATCAAACTTGGGACATCTTGTGCTTGTCAGGCAGCTGCTGTGTCACTGAGCTTTATCCCCAGCATGCCAAGATTTCAGATTTTGGTTTTTGGAGACTTTTTAAATTTTAGAAGACACCTAGTTAAAATATTGAGCAGGAATTGATATTTGAAGCTGTGCAGAATCTGTTGTTATGGTTGCCTAGCTCTACAGTATGGGAATAAAGGAGACCAAATGGCAATTTTAAATAGATTCACAGATAGCCACAAACATTTCTTAGTACCCCAGGACTCCCAACACTACAGTTTAAAATTAGGGACCACACAGGACATGATGGTATATACCTGTAATTTCAGCACTCTGGGAGGCTGAAGCAGGACTGCTGCATGTTTGAGGCCTGGGCTACACAGTGAGATCCTGTCTCAAAAACCAAAAATATAGTTTGTAAAAGATTTGTTATTATGTTTGCTTCTTTTTTGTAAGAATCCTTTGGTTTATTTCTTGTACTAACTACTTTTTTTTAAAATTAAAAGACAATTTATCTGGAAGATGAGTAAACAGGGACAGATGACAGCTACTCTGGGATGAGTAGGGAGCATTTGAAAGTGAACTGCTCCTGAATATTGACTTTGAGGATAATGATACACAGTGTAACAACTATTGTTAGTCTCTTATTATTTATGAAATTTTTTCATATAATAAAAAATTTAGGAACCCATAAATAGAGGGAAAAATATGTATTAAAAACACAGATACTAATTGAAGCTCTTTAGCTAACTAGCTTTGCCACCTTGTAATTTATACAATTCAATTTCTTCACCTGGAAAGTAAGGGCGTTGGGTGCTGCATTAAGATGAAATAAACACTGCAGAACACACAGCTGTAGAAGTATTGAACTTTTCCGCTCTGTGTTCTTCCAGCTAGACCACGGACTCTTCAAAGGTAGAGAAGCTTTAAACCACACCCACGCTGCCCCCTTAGTGTCTAGCTCACTATTCAGAAAGGCAAGCATCGCCATCCCCTGGCTAAATCAGGAGACAGCCAGTCAGGACACCTGAGTATTGAAAAATTTATTTGGAAAGCTTCTATTTAAGGAGAAAAAGAATGAGTCAGATACTGAGAGCAAGATTCTTTTTCCATTTAGAAAGTGCTGCCTACCCCCAGTACAATGGATTTCTCTGGACTACGTCTCCTGGACTTTGTTTATCTTCCTTGAAGCATCATCTAAAAAGCCACCATATTTGGAGAAATACTGACAAACTCTCCTAACCACAGCTGGTCAAAAGGGGCAAGTAGTTCCAGCCTGTTACTTGTGAATATAGGGGGTGCGGAGGGAGGGGGACCATTTTTCCTTTGGTAATCTTCGTTTTGTACACTGCATTCATATGCACTCCTCACCCCCGTTCTGTCTTTACCCCTGAGCTGCATCTCCAGCCCTCACAAACAGCTTTTAACTCCTTTCAGTAGCAGGCAGACTCCCTGGGTGCAGGCTGGGAAATCACAAGAAGTGACTCTGCCTCCTGCTGGGCACAAGCAGAAAGACATGTTTCTTTCGGTATACACTTGTGGTCACATCTCTCCTTCACACACACGGGAAATTGTGAAGGGAAGGAAAATGAATGGGCTTCACTTTGCTGGGCCTGGACCAAGCTTTAGGTGACAATAAACCATTCAGATCACATGTCTTTAATCTTTCACTTTGTGAGCTATCACCTGAAGTCGACACATCTGCATCAGCCATAGAAACAAAGGACAGCCAGGGCTAAGGAAAAGTCTGGCCTCATTGCTGGCGCTCCTGCACCCTCTCTCTTAAGTGTGGGAAGTGGGGAGTGCAGCCATATCCCACACTAAAGGGCCCAGTTTCCTCAGAAACTCAGGGCCCCGCACCACCTTCTCCCCTAAATGACGTCTTCAGTATTCTCTTCCCGTCCCAAACCCCAATAAAACACACCAACTGCTTCAGAGTATTTCTAGGTTGGGTTTTTTCATGGGTCTTTTTTTTTTTTTTATTTCAAATACTGAAAAAGTCCCTGGGCTCTGTGGGGCTCCCCACGCTCATGGTTCCTCTCCCCCACGCTCAGTGCCCCTTTCCCCGGTAACAAATCTAGTTCAAGGACAGTTTTTTTGTTTAATGAATAATTAACACTGAGCTTTCAGCTTGCTCTGCAGAATCAGAGAAGCTGTTTGCATCTGTCATCTGTAGATCAACAGTTGCTTTTATCTGACACCAGGTCTCCAGCCACAACCACACAAGGCATTTGTCTGAATTAGACCCGTTAGTCTGCTCAGCCTCCTCCCCTCCACTGAGCCCACGCCAACCACTTGGTTAAGGAGGAGGATAGCCAGGGATGTTTTATCATCTCCAAACCCTATCTCATATTCACCCGACTCTCCCACCCCACCCTCTCAACCCCACCCCTGGGATTTCACTGAGATTTCTCCCAACAGCTATTTGGAAAAAAAGGTAAAACAAAAAAGGTTCAAGGTCTTGGTGCTCAGCCCAAGGGGCTCCACGCGCTGGGACACCAACGGGCAGGGGCTTCTGCCTCTCCAGCCCGCACCCGAGCCACCTCCTGACCCCTGGCTACAAAAGCAGGGAGGGGCAGGAGCCAGCACAGGACCCAGGGGGGCAGCGTCTCAGGATCTGGCAGAGCCCCGGGCAGCATCATTCAACTTGGCCACTGTGGACGAACACAGAAAAACAAAACAAAACAAAACACTGTCAAGTAATAGGGGAAAACCCTTCAAATCCATCCCAGTCTCTGCCCCATGATTCTTCTACACTCAATCATCAGGCTGCCTGACATATGCCTCAATCTTATCTATAAGGAAATTGCAAGAAATAAAAAAGGAAAGAAAGTGTCAGTCTTTTGCTATCCACAAAGAGGTTTTTGCCTTTTCTGAGACACTCATGGAAAACACACAGAGAAGCAATTCTTTAAACAAGACTAAAGTCACCGGAGCTTTCCGGGGAGTGAGGTGTCTGGCTGAAAGCAGGTGTGGTGTGAGAGCCAGGGACACCGCCACTCAGAGCAGGAACACCAAGGCCGCTCGGTGATGGGCTGGGTGACTGTGTGGAGGCCAGGGCCAGACACACACATGCTGACTGATGTAATAATCTAGGTTTAATCAAAGCAATTTTCAAGTCAACCTTCCTTGCTAAGGAAGCTACGTACTCCATGTTGCGGAAACAGTTGGCAGACACAGAATATCGTCTGTTTGTTCACTCAGCCTCGACGACGGCCAGGTAGGGAGAGAGACTAACAGTTCGTACGAATACCCTACTCCTTCTGTTACTTTCTGAAAACTGGACTCACTGTGAACATCAGTCTTGAGGACTCAAACTGACCAAGAGAAGGCAGCTCAGACAGAAAAGAAAAAAAGTACAGAATTCGAGCAGATCGGAGATGAAGAAAACGTACAAAATTATATATATATTTATATATATAATAACATGACATATCTATGTACAACATGGCTGGGACAGCTGAGGAAACCATACAGTGATGTTCGGCATTTCCCCTTCCCACATGGACTTCAGTTAAGGATGACAGCATGAAGGAATGGAGCAAGAAACACAAAAAATTATATACAATTACAAGTGACGGCCACAAGGTGTGGGGGAGGGCTCCAGGGATCCTGTTCTCTCCATTCCTTTCTCACCAACCTTCTCCTATCCCATCCCAACCACAGCCCAGCTGAAGGTGGGAGACAAACAGACCTCATCTCGCCACAGCAACGGGCTGGCCAGTCACCTTCAGTGGTCAAGTGGCCGGCGGTCAGGATTTGTGAGCTGAAAGGGCAAGAGGATGACGGAATCCTGCTCTCTTTCACAGTTACTTCTCACCCTGGCCCTCTCTGTCACAACTAGCAGGAAGCACTCTGAAGATTCAGGCCAAACTAGCAATAATTAGACTGCAGATGTCAGGCACCACAACCCCTTTCTTCCATCTGCTTGGGAAGCAGCACTGCTACCTGACCTTATCACATGGGAGCTGAGTTACAGAGCTCTCGGAAGGCAGCTTTCTCAGTCTTCCTGCTTCAACCTTTTCCCCCCGCCTCCTCCACGGCAGGTTGTCCCCTAAGAGCCTGCTGCGCACCCGGAAGTGGCACTAAGCCCTCCGTTTATCCCGTCTCTCTCTTTCCCTAACACTGCTAGCACTTGATTATAGTGGAAGCATGGGTCACCACACAGACAGGACCAAGCATGTTTCCTCAGCTCTGTTGCCTGAGAAGCTTTTTGGTGGCTAACGTCCAGATAGAGGCCAGGAAAGTGGGTGGCGTCAGAGACAAAACTCCATTGACTTTTTTTGTTTGTACTAGGGATCAAACCTGGAGGTGTTCTACCACTGAGCTATATCCCCATCCCTTTTTAAGCTGCCCGCATGGGACTTGAACTCAGGACCCTCCTGTCTTAGCCTACCTCACTGCTGAGGTGCGCCAGTGCACCTGGCTCCATGGCTAGCTTCTTAGTAATTTTTTCTTAACCTCAAAACTGTGATACCTATGAAGTTCTGTTGCCTGAAGTTATAGCCTTCAAGTCACAAACATCCTCTTTCCCCATGCAGACTTCAAGTGATCCCCTCTGGAGCACTTTCCCAGGATTACAGAACAGAGGCTCACTCATGGGCTGTCTTCACTTTTAGTTTTATGGTTTTCCTGCTGGCAGGTACAGGATTTTAGAATCAAGATGTACCTTACACATACTTAACTCCATTTTAAAGGTGAGGAAACAAATCCAGAGAGGCTAACTGACTTGCCAAGGTTATTCTTCGGTACTACCAAGACTGAGTGGAACCAGACACCATGTACAACATGGCTGGGACAGCCATGACTCCTAAGCTAGTGCTCTTTCCTACTATCCCACAAATGTTCAAAAGCAACACAATGGAAGAGAGAGAGAAGGTGCCTGTTTTCACAAATAATGTCCACCAATCTTTACACCGTTTGAGAGCTAGGGCAAACTATAAGGTCTGCTAAATAAAGGAGGTTAAGTAGGCGTTACAGCTTTAGGCAAGCAAATCAGTTTTACTTTTTGAGGGTTCTTTCCACCTGCCATAATGGAAACATGAAGCAGTAGAAGCCTAAGGGACAAAAACATTCAGAAGCACAGAAAACATGTCTCATTCAGTCTGCCTTTCACAACTACGTCAGCTTAGTCTTGGGATGTAACTGCCACCCATTCCCAAGGCTCAACCTGACCGCTTCTGGGTCATATTCTTCCCAAAGGAGAAAGCGTGTCTCCTCAGTTTCTCAGGAAAGAAAGTGAGTTTGCAGCATTATCCAACCTTAGTCTTTCCTATTTCCAGGCCCCTACCTGGGCTAGAATGAGGGAACGGAAATCTCAATTTAACCAAAGAAACGAATTCAGAGCCCCTCTTCAACCCACAGTACCTTCTCAGCAGCCCCCAGCAGAGTCAGTCTTTCCTGGCTAGCAAGCTGAGAGACCTGACTGGGGCCCCATTCCATCCCTGCCTACGACACAGAAAAGTCCAGTGGGTGAGGGAGGGGAGCACAGAGGGCCCAGGTTACCCCGCGAGCTTGCTGGTGACGAGGGAGGACTTCCTCTGGGGCAGGTCCTGTGGGGTGGGGATGTGGTCACCAGTCACCAGGTTCTTGTCTGGCCCTGCACTTGGCAGCTGCTTATTCTTCATCTTGGCTTTGGCCATGTTGTAGTCTCCTGAGTCGAAGTACTTTTGCTAAGAGACAAAAGGGGACTTCAGGTGAGTGAGGAGCTCTGGCATTTGTCAAAAGCAAAGAGACATTTATTATAAACCCTCAAACACATTCAGATCTTTCAAGTAAGTCTTCCTTATGCGTATCTACTTTAACATTAATTGTACAAACTTGTACCTTCTCTCCGATGTGTTCTCACTTTTCCAGGTATAGAAGGGATTTTCCAGAAAGAATATGTAATTTTACAGTCAAAGGACAGCCCCTATATCCTCTGTACCTTATTCAGTACAGGACAGTTCAACCATAATTACTTACTTCATTTGGAAAGGCCTACGGAGGGCACTAGTAAGTGCAAAGCAATAGCTTGGTGCTGGGGGAACAGAGATCAATATGACATACAGATGGGTCAATCCAGAGTGAGCCCAGCAATCAGCAATCAGATCAATCTCAGGCCAACAACCTCAAAATTAAAAATTATTCTCTCAGACCAGGAATAGAAACTGGGCTGGTTCATAAGGATAATGTGTTTCCCCTGACTCCCGCCACTCCCACACATGTTCCATGGCTGTGACAGCCTGCCCACGCCTGCCTTGCCTATGGCGAAGTAAACTGCAAAGCAGTAGCACATTATCATCGGTGACTAAGACTCAATAGTTGGGGTTCTCCACAGGAATCTGTTTCACTCTCCATCTCATGTACAGAGAAGTATACACTCTAGTTATTTTCTTATAGTCCCTTAGTTGGCTAAGGTACCTCTGGGGACTGAGGAACCTGATCAAGAGCTAGACGGCCATGAAGACAGATTTTCGTTGTCACGGAAGACCACTCTGGACAGGGAAAGTAAGTCTCTTAAGGGACTATAGCTGCTGCCTGGCACTGACTTCAAGGGTCTGAAGAAATCTATTTATTTCAAGTTGAGAATTTCTGCAGGACAGATAGCTTGATTTTTTTTTTTTTTCCCTGAAACAATACATCCCCAAATTTATCTCTAATTTCTAAAAATCAGTCTCTAAACCTTGCCATCTAAACAGGAAAATAGGGGCTGGGGATTTAGCTCAGCGGCACAGCGCCTGCCTGGCAAGCGCAAGGTCGTGAGTTCCATTCCCGGTCCTGGAAAAAACCCAAAACAAAACAAAAAACAAAAATAAACAGGAAAATACCTGGGGGCACCCTACATTTCCAATCTCTAATACCCACCTCCCTTTCTACCATGCCCCAAATGCCCTTAATTTCCTATATGTGTTATCAGAAGAAAACTGACACCATATAAAGGATTTACAATGCTTTGCTTTCCTCTTTTCACATTTTAACTCCTCTCTATTAAGTGCCCAACAATAAAACCTCCAGAAAAATCAAACGGATGAACCTGGACACACTTAAGAGTCCCCTGTGGCTCCAAAGTAAGAGGATAAGAGATTGTGTTTCATTCATACCCCTTTCTGGAGTCTCTTCATGAGGAAGTCGGAGCCTCCAGGCTTTTGTCCTAGGCTTGGATATTTGGCCTTTAGTTTTGCCTCCTCAGCTCTCTCAGGAAGAATACCTTCTTTCTCCTGTGTGTCCTGAAGGAAACAAAGGATAAATAAAACTAAAGACTGAGAAACAACAGCTTTTCTCTATCTCTCTCTTTTTTTTTTTTTTTTTTTTGGTCTTTTTGAGACAGGGTCTTGCTATGTAGTCAAGGCTGGCCTTGAGCTCACTTTGTAGCCCAGGATGGTCTCGAACTCAGAACGATCCTCCTTCCTCAGCCTCCACCTCCGGGTGCTGGGATTACAGGGGTGTACCGCGACAGCCTGGTGACAGCTTCTAAAGTCTTTTTTTCTTTGGTACTGGGAATCGAACTCAGGACCTTCTGCTTGCCAAGTAGGCGCTAATGCCACTGAACTACATCCTTGGCCCTAAGCTTCAATTATCTAATAATCCTTACAGTATCAACTTTCCCTGGAGATCCACCCACTTATAAACATTTATCTCAGGGCTAGGAATATAGCTCAGCAGCAGTGCTTGCCTGCCATGTGCGAGGTCATGAATTTGAATCCTGGAATTCCCGTAAATGTTATCTCTACCCTTTTTTTGTCTACTCTGCCCTTTTTTTTTTTTTTTTTGAGACAGAGTCCAGGCTGGCTTAGAACTCTTGGGCGAGTGCTGGGATTATAGGCACGTGCCACCTCACCCAGTCCTACTCTGCTCTTAAAGATCTTTTTCAAACCCATAAAGCTCAAGACAACTGCATTGTGAGAAGAAAAAGACAAGTTGCTTTGCATACTACACCCAAGAAACCACCCCAATGATCTATGAGTACTAGGCTAAAGTTAACACCTAAACAGAATACCTGAGTCATAGAGTGGGTCATAGCTCACTCACCACAGAGGACAGGAAAGACCAAGAGAAAACAAGAGCTAGTCAGGGTCTCTGGTGACACCCAATGGGTAGGAGTGCACCCTACAGTCAAATGGGAAATCAAAGGGGATAAACCTTTTGACATGTTCAGAGTCTAAGCGCTCTGGTAATTCTCTGTGGAGGAAGGGAGCAAGTGAGTTTCTTCAAAATTCTCTGAGTAATGGCACAGCACTGCTTCCACCTATTTACAAATATTGTGGTAGCAAGGTGATAGCTAAACAATTAAAACAACACTTTTTCACCTCAAGGAAATTAAGAAACGGGGTTCACTAGCATTTATTCTCTAGTTTTCACCCGAACAACCAATGCTGAGCCTGGGGGCGGTGAGCAAGTCTGGGGAAAGAGCAAGGCAGCTCAAAGGCCTGGAAGGGCGCTCACTGTGCCCTCTGCTGCTCGTCGTGGGCCCTGCTGGTTTTGTTTTGTTTTGTTTTTTTAAAGAACCTGAAATTGCGGCCGGGGAGATGGCTCAGTGGCACAAGCGCCTGCCTGGCAAGCGCAAGGCCCCGGGTTTGATTCCTGGTACCTCCCCCGCCGGCCCCCAAAAAAGACCAAGCTAAGAACCTGAACGCAATGTATGACTCTTCTTAAATTTTTCCTTGATAATCATGCACAGATTTAATACCACATGTGCTCAAGTCTCTGAACCTAGTACTATATGTTTCAAATAAAATGCAAACGTAAGAAGGGGTTTGCTTGGTGCTAATATTTTCCCCACAGAATCGTGGGCGGACTAAATCCCAGGTCTGAGGGAGAGGGCGGCGTCTCTTCTCGGCTTAAACTCCCCCTGGAACTCCAGTCCGCTCACTCGCGTTCGGGCTTCACTGCAGGCGAACAGATGCCCCCTAACTATCAAAATCGGTCTCTGAGAAAGTTGTCGCCTTAAAGTAGCCGCGATCATAAGCATTCTTCTCCCCTCCCCCAATGCTGGTCCCCTCGACCTGCACCTTCACGCGGTTTAAATTTGTAAGTCCCAGCCTGACTATTGGGTCACTTACCTCTGCTAATAGAAAAACACCTTGCAACCCAGGACCACCAGCCCCCTTTCATTCACCTGATCTTTCCAAACACCCGCCCACACCCAAGCTCAGCCAATTATAGCATAGCTTCCACGGTTTGAGCGCTAGGTTTCTTGGCCAATCACGAAGGATACACCACTGACTGACAACCTACCTAACCAACCAGCGCCAAAGTAGCAGACTCTGTTGGCGCTCACCCTGCGTGACGCAAGAAGTAGCCAACCCCTGAAGAGATTGAGACCATGGCGACCAATCCGCACTAGTGAGAGGCCCGTCTCCCGCCTCACCACGGTCGGCCCTGGTTCGCCCGCCTGCACCCCCTCCATTTCACCTGCTTCTCCTCGCCGGTCTCCTCCGCAGGGTTCTCGTCTTCTTGCTTCTGGGACATGGCGGGACCGGGACTGGAGTTTAGGGGGCCCGGGAAGTCAACTGGAGACGGGAAGGGGGAGGGGGAGCGGGGACAACCTGAGCTGCTGCTTCGGCTCCTGTCACTATGGTTGCTCAGTTAAAATGGCGGCCCTTGCCCGTGACGTTTCATCCGCTCCTTTCTGCAGAAGCCAATGAGAATGGGACAGATGAGACAATGACGTAAGGACCAACCAATAGTGACTGGCTAAAAGTGGGTTCTACAGAGGCGACGGGCAAGCTGGAACACCTCGAAAGAGACTGAGCCACAAGGACCAATCGGAAGGCCGCAAAGGATCTTGGAGGCAGGCCTGCTAGCCTTGGCTTTTTTTGCTGTGGGGAGGGCTCAGAATCCCTTTGCCTCCATTACCTTGTTCTCAGGGAGCTACAGAACGCCAAAGTGCAGAGGCGTAGGACACAAACCATTTATTCTGGGTGGAAAGGATTAAGCTTTGCACAGTGTTAACAGGAAGTTATCGATCTCCAGAAATAAAACTTGTAGGTCAAAGTGGACTGTAAAGTGGTATTCAACAGTTTTCAGATGTGTCATTCATTTGTGAATGGAATGGAGATACTAAGTCCCCACTTCAGTCGTCTTGCAAGAACACTATGGTTTACACCTCGCAATTTAACGCTTATGTACGACATTATAATCACTCAGGGTCATCTCTTTGAGGACCAGGCTCCTCGAACCTGAGAACACAGGTACGTTAAACATTTAGCAAATATAGTAAACACTAACGTATCGAGGATCATACTTCAACAATATTTCATATATATATATATATATTTTTCTTTCTTTTTTTGGTACTGGGTGTTGAACCTGGGGCCTTTGCACCGAGCTACATCCTCAGTCCTTTTAAAATATTTTATTTTGAGTCAGGGTCTTGCTAAGCTGCCCAGCCTGGGCTTCAATTAAAGATCTTCCTTTCTCAGTCTTCCAGACTCTTATTGAAGGTATTAGATGAACTTCTCTTGCCCCAGAGGCATGCACCACCACACCTGACTTCAACAATGTTATTTGAATATCTGTTGATGTTACTGTATTAGTTTTACAGGGGGTACGTGTAATAATAAGGCAGTCTTTGCCTTTAGAAAGCTTACAGTCCAGTGAGTTTCAGGTGTGTTATCTAAATCCTCAAGATTAAATATCTTCCTGAACCATTAGTTTGAAAAACATTAGTTTTAGCCGGGTGTGGTAGTGCACGCCTATAACCCCAGCTACTCAGGAGGCTGAAGCAGGAGGATCGTTGTGAATTCGAGACTAGCCTGAGCTACAAAGTGAGCTCAAGTCCAGCCTGAACTGCATAGTGAGATCCTGTCTCAAAAAAACAAAACAAAACAAAACAAAAACAACCCACCAAAGCCAAAACAACAGCAGCAACAACAAAAATCAGCTTTTTGTGGCACTTGCCACAAAAAACAAAGGAAGAAAGTGTGTTCTGGATCAAGGGCACAGCATGAAGCCTAGAGCAATAGAAGGGTGACCAGGATATAGAGGATTTTGAGTGTCAGGATAAAGAACTTGTGAGAGGTTCAATAATCAGTGAAAGACATTTTAGGCAAGAGAATGGCAGATCAGAACTGACCCTTAGGAAGATTCTTTTGATGGTAATGAATTTAAATATTTAGAATTCCAAGCAGAAAGAAATTAGATCTGGGCACTCTAGCCTGGAGTCCATTGCATACTTTAAGTGGGAGATAATTAGAATTTAACCTAAAAACATGGTAGTTAGGAATACAAAACTGACTATAATTAAGATTATCTGTGGCAATGGGACCTTCCAGATTAGCAGCTAACTGAAAATAGGGAGTGTGAAAGGTTGTGTGTGTGCATAGAAGTAGTGCTGTGTGGAAACAATACATTTAGAAAGAGCAAGCACGTGCTTGTGATGCTAGCATTCTGGGAGGCAAGGCAGGAAGACTGCAAGTTCAAACTCAACCCAGACAATTCAGTGACTTGTAAATACCCTGTTCATTCTGTCTCTAAATAAATAAATACATAAGAAAAAAGGGGGGGAGCTAGGGATATAACTGTGCAAAGGCCCAGGTTGAATCCTGGTACCATCAAAAGAAAAAAAAGTGTTCACAGGTGAGGGAAGAGGGCCGGGGATATACCTCAGTGGTGCAAGTGCCTGCCGGGCAGGTGTGAGGTCGTGAGTTTGATTCCCAGTACCCATACAAAACAAAACAAAACAAAAAACCAGATTGTTTCTCGGCCTTTCAGCTAAGATCAAGTGTAGATGAGGGAAGAAATAAGAGATCAAGATAATTTACATTTGCATTGGAGAGGGGTATCAAAGGCAACTTCCAGAAGGAGATGACATTCTAAGGATGTATAGGAACGCTTGAGATTTAAAAGAAAGGGTGCTAGAAGGCCCTTCAGGCAGAGGAGCCTTCTGTGAAGGTATAGAACCACAAGAAACCTCCATGCACTGGGCCCCTGGTCCTCACACTTGGCTGATAAGAAGCTCCCAGGGAACTTCATAAAAATACAGATTTCCTTGGCTCTATTTCAGCCTGGTAGGATCAATATCATTATGCTGGGACCTAGAAGTACGTATTTTTGGGTTTTCTTCTGTGTGTGTGCAGTACCAGAGATTGAGTCGCTCAGCGGCATAAGCTCTTGCCTGGCAAGCCTGAGGTCATGAGTTTGATTACTGGTACAAAAAAAAAAAAAAAAAATCAGCAGTTAGGGATTGAGTCTAGGGCCTTCTACATGCTAGGCAAGCACATTACCACTGAATTGCATCCTCAGGCATTTCTATTTTATTTTGAGACAGGATCTCACTAAGTTGCCCTGCCAGGCTTGAACTCATGATCCTCCTGTCTCAGCCTCCCAGAGTGCTGAGATTACAGGTGTGGGCCACATGTAACTCATGCCATGCCAGAAAGATTTAACTATGGAAGCAGTGCATAGATTGGTCAGGAGGGGACAGGGATGTCATAGGTGGATGCAAGGAGGTCCCCTAAAGAGAGGATGGGGACTTCAACTCACCCCACCCATGGAAAATGCGTTTTCTCACAGAAAAGCATTTCAGGGTGCATGCATGAGTTTCAAATGTACGTACTACAAGAAAATAGAGTGCAAGGCTTCCAGAGAGGCACATCAGGGCCTGGGGTTTGGAGTTTTTCTGTGGTCTTGAAAGTGTCCTCAGGACCAGTGACCTAGGATGTGTACACCTACTGTTTGTCAGAATACCATTAGTGGACTAGGTTAGTATGCAAGCCATTTGCATGTGTAGACATGGCACTCGCGTAAATGGTACTGCTTCCTGGAGGATGGAGGTCTGTGGTATTTTTGAGTATCATAAGGAGGGAAAAAGCAGGCTTCATTTACAAGTAAAAAACATGTGTCCAATTTACAGGCTTGTGCATTATTGTAGTCAGTGTTTGCAAGGGAAATAATTTAATACAGGACACATAATTTATAGGGTCTTTTTTTGTTTATTTGTTTTGTCTTTTTGAGACAGGGTCTCTCTATGCAGTTCAGGCTGGCCTTGAGCTCACTTTGTAGCCCAGGCTGGCCTCGAACTCGCAACAATCCTCCTGCCTGAGCCTCCTGAGTGCTGGGATCATGGGGATGTGCCTCCATGCCCAGTACAATTTTAAGTGTGCTTGTCTTTGTCTCCGTTCTACCTGTCTTTATTTCTTCTGTCTGCCTCAGGGAGACAATTGGATCTCTGCAGCAAGACTTGAGAAGCCTGACTGTGTGATAGAGAGAAGCTTGAACAGACCTGATATTCGATGTGGCAATAAAGGTGAGGAGAGAACCAAGGATAAATAGCAAATTTCTGGAAGAAATTCTCTGAAAAGCAAATACAGAGAGAACCAGATTTTGGGGGTAAAGAGAAAAGAGGACCTGAACTTCTTACATATTTATTTTTTATTTATTTATTTATTTTTTTTTTCATCTTTTTCTCATGTCTGAAATTTTCTGGGAAGAGCCTCAATCTTCCAAGGTGTGAAGTAAAATGTCTAGAAAACCCAAGCAACTTCTGGGCATGGTGGTGCATACCTGTAATCTTAGTACTCAGGAGGCTGAGATTAGAGGCCAGCCTGTGCTACAAAGCAAGACCTTGTCTTGAAAGACAAACAAACAAACTAATGAATGAGTGGGCCAGGAATTATAGATCAGTATGAAGGCCCTGGGGTTCAGTCCCCAACACCAGGGGGGTAGGGGCAAGTTGCAGAGCTTCAAAACTAGGTGGATTTCAACATTTATACCATTATTATCTGATGGTGGACCAGACAGAAATACCAAGAAAAACAAACTGTCTTGTCCTTGTCTCCTTTGCAGAAGTATACTTAGGCCTGGGCCTAAGTGTAGCCTAAGGAAAATAATTAAGTGGTCAGAATACTACTGTAGAGATAAATTTCACAAAAGTTAAAATCGTAATTCATACAAATAAGAGATCTGGTAATGTGCTAAGTTGGTTCAAAGGAGAATCTGTAATTAGGAATGCTGACAGATGTAAATTGGCCAGTAGCCACAGGACATAAAACATAATGTTTGTCACCTCTTTCACACGATGGAATCAATTGTATTTCATTTGACAAAATTCATTTGTTGCCACGCACAAGCATAATTTGCATTACCATCAGCTTTCTCTACTTACATAATTGTAAATTATACTGGGTGTGGTGGGTCACATCTGTAATCCCAGCACTCTGAGAGGCTGAGGCAGGAAGATTACAAATTCGAACCCAGCCTGGACAATTTAGAAACAGCCTGCCCCCTATGAAAAAGCTGAGGATGATCAAAAATACTTTTGCCTATTTCAAAATATTTTACAAAATGGTCTTCTGAGAATGTAAAAGACTTCTCATAAATATCTTACCTCTGACTTCCATTCCATTGAACATTCTGGTTAAAATGCAAGTCTAGCCTATAGTGGTTGCCCAGTCCACAATCTTAGCCCCTTGGGAGGCTGAGGTGGGAGAATAAAAGTTCAAACCAGCCAGATGTGGTGGCATACACTTGTAATCCCAGCACACTTGGGAGGCTGAGGCATGAGGATCTCTGTGAGTTCCAGGCCAGCCTGGGCTATTCAGCAAGACCCTGTCTCAAAAAAAAAAAAAAAAAAAAAA